GTCTAAGAAAGCCCATTTCAGCACCTTGTACCCGGGTTCGAAGTTTTTCAGTGATGGTCCACGATTCATGCGGTGTCGTATTAAGGATTATTTGATCTGTTTTGTTTGGACTCATATGTCATTATTAGCTATGTGTAGAGTTTATCAACACGTATTGTTTCGACAACAGTTTCTTAGCAAACAATTAAAACAATAGCGACTTTTGAATTAGTCCTAAAATTTTAGGAAAGAATACATTTTACATAAATCTGAAGAGGATACGAGTGCTCATTAAAATATACATCTTACGGTTTCTGCACCCGTTGTTTAACCGGCAGTATTCACAGATTGGCACTACCCTAGATGTGGAGATGTATCTTCCTTCTTGCTGATCATTTTTACGTAATAATTATATTTTCGTGTCTAAGCTGTCTTCTGTCTATCACGAAATACTGAATAATTTGTAATGTGATTCAGAAGTAAAAACTTCCGGATTTCGGTTTCGAATTATGGTATAGATGCTTCATATGTCAGATCGAGGTATACTAACTGGTGCTGGGAAAACTTTTCGACCCAGTACAGAGATGCGGTTTCGTATTGCGATGATTCCATAGAGCAATATCACGGTTGACAGACTTCAAAGCCTCTGGATGCGATGGAATAGTGCGAGTACACTGTACTAATCTGAGATAACATAACTCATATGCCATGCTGACAGAGAGTGCCAATAATTAGCCTGTGTCATCAATCACAGAATATTACAAGTACCTTAGTCCATCACTTTCTAAAGTGATGGGCTTGAAGCGGCGCAGAAGTCCGCTCTGGTAGGTTGGGACGGTGGTTGCTCTCCCTCGCCAACGATATCTGTTCATGACCAAATCTTCGTAGAGTTCTCTATTTTTTGAGTTTTTCGTTTGAAGATTCAGGATCTATTTGCAAAAGTTCGTAAGGGTCTTTACTCCTCATAGCTGCCGAAGAACTATTTGGCAAAAGTGCTGAAGAAATGATAATACCGAAGGGGAGTGTAGGCGCGTTCATGAAGATCCAAAGACCAGGAATGATCAAATGAGAGATATCGGCTATACCGTTTCACAAACTGTTGCAAGCCGTTTAGCGTTTGGCTTGAATAAAGCAGTCACTAGAATTAAAAAATATAATTGAATTTATACAGTGAATAAATTGAAAATTAAATACCTGAATTAATGTCAAAATACAGAAAAAATTAACCTATTGCGATACTAAACGAGACCGCGATCTCAGGCACACGGGGCCATAGTTCGTTTAAAACTGGTCAAAAGTATGCATATCTACAGGCAATGATTTCCGCAAAATTATCATTCGACAATTAAACTCGAAACCATTAAAGTTCACAACATCCGGCCATGTTGTGTGCGTTCAGGCAAGTCTGTTCTTTTTTAGCACAGCCATGGCAACGGTTTTGATGCCTTGCCACGTTTCGACCGCTGTAGGAAGAATTTGGGACGGTTTCAAAATAAAGCCGTCAGCTACTTCTTCACTAGGCCGTAGTTCGATCAAGTACACGTACTTTGCGGGTAGATTTTTCTTCACCCAATCGGCCATACCACCGCTAGCAGGATCTAATATCTTCAGTTAGCGAATACCAGTCAACCTCGCTTACCGTACAGAGAGTATCAGCGCCACTTCCTACTCGGTACTTCGTGCCGTACATTCGGGACAACTCTTCCGCTGCTTTAGTAGCCGTCCTCACCTAAACAAGACAATGATAACAACGGAATATACTATAGAATTTTGTATATGAGGGCTTTCGAAAACTAATGGAATGTAATCGAGATGTGTTCTTTTATCCAGATCGTAATGGCTGTATTTCGTTATCGTTTCAACTTTGTTCATAGAAAAATTTGAACGATAATCAAACGTTAGGCAGCCTGCAATGTACAATACCCTCAAAATAAACTTCCATTACCTATGGGAAGTAAGTGAATCTTAAAATAACAATGGATTCATCTTGCACCTGGCAAAGTCAATAAATGTCCCTATATTCGCAGTATCGCGGTTGAGCAAAGCATTTTATCTATAAATTTTATTTTGCTCAAAATATTTACTTTAAATTCACAAAATTGGATGCCTGAAAGCAAGTTTCCGTTTTCCTCACTGGAGGCTGTATGAAGCATTCAACGTTGCTGCCTATGAAAGCGCATTGACGCATGATTTTTCATTTTTGACTGAAGGTTAGAATAGCCATTCATGGACATATTTGCCATCAAGTAATGAAGAAATCCTTCGTCCTTTGCTAGCTGATCATTTTTTGATTAACGGAACGCACATGGCGCCAAAAGGGGCTAGAGTAGAGTAGGGTTCCTGAGGTGCAATAACGAATTCTTCTTCATTCGGCGCGAAAACACACAGTTGAATTTGTTTTAAAATCATGGACACTTTAGGCACACTTCCACTTGTTGCAGTGTCCTTCAAGGAAGAACCTTTGCATTTGTAAACAAATCAGCCAAAGAACTGGTCCAAAATGAAATATAGACATTACTGTAATTGGATATTGGAAATCGAAAGGAAGAGAAGGTATTCGAATCAAGGAAGTACTAATGT